CATCAAGCGGGATTGGCCTAGGGGGGGATTTTATAGGGATTTTAAAGGGATTTTATAATAGTAAACTTAATACAGGTTATTTAATATATATTTTAATTTGGCTTTTAGAGATATTTATTGTATTGCACTGTTTTTATTTACCTGTAAGCCGCCCTGAGTCCCTCGGGAGAAGGGCGGGGTATAAATGGGAAAAAATAAAAAATAATAATAAATAAATAAATTATTTTTACAAGCAATAAGTCCAAGAATTCAGAAATCCAAGTGGTTCTCTCTTCTTCTTTTTTTGCTAAGTTTATCAATCTCCCTGAGCATGACATTAATCTTGAAATCCTGCCAAGTAATTTTCCTGCACAACTTTTGTCTAGTATAATTAAGGGTAAATTACTCTTTAATCTGTTTCTCATGCTTCTTCCTTTCCCTGGATATAGGAATCTTTCCCGTAACATCCCTTGTCCCTCACTTAACTTCATTCTCAAAGTTTGTTTGGCATCTAATCTCAAGCTAGGCATAAATAATTATTTGAAATTCATCATGTTGGTTGTCAGAGAAATTGGGTGGGTCATTTCACTAAATTTTTCAGAATAAGAAGAAATTATCCACCAATTTCTCAAAGACAGGGCTCTTTCTTGGTTATCCAATAGGAAGATTTGCCTTGTTATGTTTTCTTTTGAAAATGAATTGAGATATGAGAACTCATAAATTGACTGGTTGGTTTTACGCCATTAAGTTGGTGTTATCTTATAGTGACCACACAGATAGTCCTTCTTCAAAATGATTTGTCCCCAAACTGGCCTTTCAGATCTTCTGACCATACATCAGTAGCCTTCGTAATCAAAGCCATTCAGCTTGATGCTGGAAGCTATAAACTGTAAAGTGTTGGAAGAATAATATACTATGAAACGAATGTAAGATTTTGTAAGATGATCAGAATCTACTAAATTAGGCAGCTATAACAAATTTAAATCAACAAACTCAAGACATATGTGCAAATACCTTAGCCATCTTACAATTTTTAAAAAGTGCAGGAAATCACATTTTCCTTGAGATATTTTTTCTGAATTTCTTTTTTGTTTGGAAATAATTTCAAAGTTGGAGTGAATAAAACATGGGTGAGTTTGATGTCAGGTATCATCAGTCTGCTGATGATATTCAGTGAATATTTCAAACTACACTTGAAGACCACTCAGAAAGTGCAGATGATCCAGAACACAGCAACATAGACAACTATGGGTTCATGCAACACCTTTACTGTGGAAACTGCACTCAGTACATTTCAATGTGTTGGTTATAAAGCTCTTCATGACACAGAGCTTGGTTATTGGAGGGACTACCTGTGTTCCATAGTTGCTGTCCATCTTATATGATTCAGCAGCATGCTTTAGATAAGCAATACCATTCAATGGGACCCAAGAAACAGGTCTTCTCTGATATAGCATCTGGCTTCTGGACTGATATTCTTCCAAAAGTCTGCACAGTCCCCAGTCTAACCTTATTTAAATGTGCCCTCAGGATTTGGTTCTTTTTCCAACCTTACGTTATAATGGTGTCGGACTCCTTTTGGGTTAACTAATTTGTAAGATAGTAGCTGTTTCTTTCTAAATAATTTTATTGCATGGATTGTTTTATTTTAAATTTTTCATATTGAATGCTGCCCAGAATCACAGTAAAGTTAATAAATAAAATAGCTCTATGGTTACTTAAAACGGATAGCGCAATTGCTAGGCTTTTTGAGGTGGAAAACAGTGTGTAAGTGTAAGCCTTATTATAGGCATGCTAAAAAGCTAAAAATAGAGAAACCTCAAATGCAGCCTTGTCTTGCTGTGGCTCCATCTGTTTTACAGCCCTCCAATTTTCCCCAGGAGCTGAGTTGTGGCCCTTATATCTCAATTTATTAAAGAAAATTCTCTTTAATCGAACTGAGAAAGAACTGCTTAACAAAAACAAAGCAAGAATTTATCTGACAGTTCAATTATTCCACTGATTGTACAGCAAAATTTTAAAGGATTAAAAGAAAGTAGAGAGTTATTACAGTTAGAAAAAGCTAAACATGGTTCATTTAATTAAAGGTATATGGCTTGAGCCTTTTAAAAATATATGAAGAATAATTATTCTCTAATTGCTTCTAAAATACAATAAATATAACCTCTTTTTCCTCTCTTTTGATTTAACTGTGAAGGTTTTTTAATCATCTGGTGTCCAGGTTGAATTTGTTAGTGACATTATGGAGAACACTTGTTTAAAAACTAAATATTTTATATAAAAGGAGGAAAATAGAAGTTATCATATGAGCAAGTGTTGCTCTCAGCTTACAGGATGTAATAAAATAAGTGCTTGAGTGTTAGACTTCTTTTGTAGATAGACTTAATTATGGTGTGTTGAACTAATCCCACATTGAGATGAAATAGGACGTCTGTGAGTTGATCACCAATGTGTATGAGATAAATCATACAAGCGACGTGTAAATGTGGGTCCAGCATCCATCAGTTTAATATTTAATATTGTGAAACTTTCTGACAGTATCAGCTACATAGTTTCTCTGTTTTGCAAAATACTGTTTCTGGATGATTTCAATTGTCTGAAGCTGTGTAGGTAAAATATGTATTATATGTCACATATGTGTTGCTTTTCCCACAAATAAAGCTTACTAACAATTCTTTTCAGAAGTGTTGGATGAAGGCTTCCAGGTTCCAGCCTCAATAGCCGAGAGGTATAAAGTTGGTCGGACTATAGGAGATGGAAATTTTGCCATTGTAAAAGAATGTATAGAAAGGTGAGCAAGTTCTTTTGCTTATTACTGTTAAAATGTTTCCTAATGTTAGACTATTCCTAGATCATATCACTATTTACAGATGATACATAACAAACTAGTGCCCTAAGTACATATGAACAACAATAACAAAAAGACTCCAGCTAGGTCTATAAAGAAAAGTTATTTAGAATTAATCTATAAATGAAATGCTTTTATTTTTTTACCATCCTTGATTATTCTTTCTATAGTTGGATCTTATGGGACATGTATGCTTTTTGATAAACAATGCTGTTTAAATATATATATATATATATATATATATATATATATATATTTGTCATATATATGCGGGCACAGTAACTATCTTGAAAACAAAACAAAAAAAATCCTTCCTTAACATAACTTTTTTGGTTTTGACTTCCAAATCTCTGCTGCAGCTGTTACCTGCAGTAATCTTTGTGTGCTGCACTGGTTATAATATATAAAACATGACATGCTGAGGTTCAACTCAATAGAAAATGGCTGTTTTTCCATCAACTGTTTGGTAAAGAAGGAATTTTAGGGAGAAATCCCACTTTCTCCCTTTAGGAACATTTTGGTCATGTCAGAAGAATTTCCTGTGCAGCAGCTGTTGGCATACACAGGCCATTCTGTAGGCAGGAGTTTATGTGTAGAAGCTAGCTGTTATATGCAAAAGCATCCTGGCCTGATGGGATAAACCATGTCTATCACAAGCAACCAATGCAATCACAGACAAATTAAACATGTGTTCTTTTCCAGAATTATCTAAACCAGACATGTCAAACACAAGGCCCGGGGGCTGGATGCGGCCCGCAAAGTGGTTTCATGTGGCCCACAAAGCCATCCTGGAAACAGTGAGGGAATGGCCCCTGCTGCCTTGGCCCTGGCCCAGGCCAGCTGGGAGCCAATGTACAATTTTGTGGTGGCCCTCTATGCTGAAACGCATTTAGTCTTAGCTCCATAAGCCCCCCCCCCACATGGCCTGAGAGGAACAGTGAGGCTCCTCCAGTGGACCATGTCTTGGCACTTGCCCCGGTCCCACCCCCTTCTGCAAAAGACCCTCCGATCTATCCCACTCCTGTCCAGGCCCCCACAGGCACCCTTGATGCAAATGATGTAGAGCTGGCCACACCCACCCAGTAGGCCACACCCATTCTATCCATGCCCACCCAGTAGGCCGCACCCACCCTGGCCACACTCACCTGGCCCCCTGAGGGCAACCACAATGCTGATGCGGCCCTCAATGAAATTGAGTTTGACACCCCTGATCTAAACAGTATAAATTAGTGTATAATTAAATAAAAAGTTATTCAGTTCCAGTTCAGGGATTGGGTAGAATTGATTTATTGCATTTCATTCTTTCTTTCCTTGAAGATGTTCAATGCAGCTTTCATATTCTTCTCTTCTACTGGTGCCTATCAATCTATGGGGAAGGATCTGTCTCCCCCAGAATAACCTAGGCTGAGTAGGGGATGAAGTTGTGTTCCCAGAGATTTAAGCCCAGTACTCTAAGCTTCATGTTGTAGTTTAACAAATGGTTTGACAAAGAAAAAAGAAAAAGAAAATACTGTATATGTCTTTGCTGGACACTGACTGGAATTGTGTAAGCTCAGGTTATCCTACCGAAGTTTTGTCATATTGGAGCACATCTGAAATATAATGTTTTAAGGTGACGGAAATTAAAGAAAGGAGGTTGAATGGACAATTCAAATACTATGCTGAATTTATTATTGCTTAATGAGACAAAGAATAAAATAGTATCTGCATATATTTTGGTATCACTAAAACTGATAATACCATAAAATTTGATTTTTTAAAAAAGTTGAACATGCAAGCCTAGGATGTTAAATATGTGGGGGGGGGAGGAGGAGGAGGAGGAGGAGGATTCCAAATGGTCATCTATATAAAGATAGCTTTTTGATACTCTTATTTCTGAGTAACTATATACTATACCAAGAAGCCCTCTAGTGGGGGAAATGATTCCTTGCTCAGGGAGATATGCTTTTTTTCTTTTTTCTTTTTTTTAGCAATGCAGCAATATGATAAAACGTGTGTGGACTCCTCATTTTTCCTAAGCCTTTGCTTTAAATATTGAATTTAAACTTCATTTTAATCTTTAATGTTTTCATTTCTATTAGCAATTATATTATTTGAATCAATATCATATATCCCTTCATGTTTCACAGCAGCTTGTCGCAGTAACAAAATAGAAACTTTCTAAAAAGTTCCTTATTTTCTACTGGGAGATTTTCTAGCCATTTCTATTAAGGTATACATTTAGGCTGCTCTGCAAAATAATCTCAGGTTATGTGTTAAATTGTAAAATGTTGTCACTATTGGGTAAGTGAATTTAATTTGTTTCTTCCTTCTGAATGTTGTTAGGTCAACTGGTAGAGAATATGCCCTGAAAATCATTAAAAAAAGTAAATGCAGAGGAAAGGTAAGTATCAAGATCCACAGTGGAGCATCATATGTTCAGTTTTTGAATTAGATCAAATCTGCAGTCACTCCAATTTAGTGGTTAATTTAAAAAATGTTGTCCAATATTTGGTGAACAACAGATGGAACAAGGATCTGGCAGGGCACTGTGACATATTCACAAGGTTCTTGATAGAAAAAATAGCTTACATTGACTCAGAGTTATATGTCAATTGGACAGAATCTGATGTGATGATGTGAATCATCTCTTGTGATGTTATCTTGGAGTTATTTGGCCATGTGGAAATTGATGAAATGGATAAGAGTCCCTGAAATATGAGCTTGGCTACATGTGAACTTCTTTGAACACTTCATCAGCCGATGTAGTTAGATTATAATAAAATGGTCTGAATGGGACTGCCTTTGAAAATGACCCAGAATCTGTAATTATAAAATTCAGCAGCCAAGATATTAGCAGATATGAATTACTCTTGTAATATAACATCCAAACTCTGGTTACCTCACAGATTTTTTTTTACAAATTTCCAACTGCAGTTACATAGTCAAATTAAAGTAATGTTTGTTTTAACGTATAAAGCTTTATATATCATTTCTTCAAGATGTATCAGGAATTGTTTCTTTCAAGTGTAATCTCTCTGGCCTGTGTGTATATAAATGAAGAGAAGCTTTTTATATCTGATCTCAAGGAGATTTGGACCTCAAAAATTTGGAACTCACATTCCATTGTAGCTGCCTGAGGCCCCCACCCTGCTGATATTTCTGAAGATAGTGAAGATTGGGCATTTTATTTAATTGTGTGCTTAGTGTGTGTTTTAAATAGTTTCTGTTAATTATGCATTTATTTAAATAATATATATAGCTTCTTGTATGTGGGAAAGATCTTGGGAGGCTCGGTGAAGAGAAATTGCCAAGGGAATAATCACATGAGAGACAGAATAGCCTGCAGCTGGATAGTGGGTGGGGCAAGAGGCTCAGATGAGACCCTCCTTAACTGTAGAGGAGAAGGAAGGAGAACTGTACTTTCAGGTTTGCAAGATTCTATTATTGTAGTTTTACAATAAAATAGAATTAGCTTACCTGGCCAGGCCTGGTCTACCTAGTAAGGCTGACACTTCCCATCTCACAACAGTGACTCTGGTTGGCATAGAAAGATTAAAATCCAACAATAAAAGCAATGATCAATGCTGCCCAAGATAAATGGGACCTTCCAATGATGAGGCTGCATTACCTACCTTCCTGACCCTAATGCATGGAGGAAATAGCCAAGATTTCAGAGTTTTATAAAAAGATAATTTGACTTATGATGGATAGGCTGCCATATTATATTTATTGTTGAATCTTGATTTGATGTGATTGGTGTATGTGTTATTCTTCTTCTAAACTACTCACAGATGTTTTAACTGGGTAGGATATGTATCAACAAACCTCTGGACTCATGGTCTCTAAAATATTCTGGAGGACTCAAATACTTTGATTAAAAAAAGGATTACCTTATTGTAAAACAAGCAATGAAGAAGCAATATAGATCTTGGGGCAGGTACACGGGATATGGGAAGCTGCCACAGAAAAAGCCCTTTCATGTATTGCCATTATGTAAGAATCTGGAGGGGTCCTGAGATAGATCTTGATTCTCGGGCAGAATTATATGCAGAAAAATGGTTATTTGACTAGTCTGGTCCCAAACCATTTAGAATTTTCACTAGGGATTAAAGGCAACTTTTTAAATTGTTCTACAAAACTATGCAACTTGACAAACCTGACACAAAAGCAACAAGATGTTCAGTTTAGTAAGGATGAGAGGTCAGGGCATAATATGTTGGCTTGGAGAAATCCTAGGAAGAAAAATATTAATTGCTAAAATGTCTAAAAATGCAGTTATTTCCTTTTTTGCTTGGGAAAATATGATTTGTTTTTATATAATGTTTGAATTAAAGGATTGGAAGTGTAATTCTTTATAGGTATACTAAAAGACAAATATTCAGAATATGTTAAATATAAGCAAGCTTAAATCTACTGTAAGTAAAGTACTTGCAAGTTTAAATCTTCTTCCTATGATTGCTATCTGTTTTACTTTTGATATTCATTTTCTCAGCCTCAGCACAGTCATTGACATGAATTAATTTATAAGGGTTTTTAAAATGCTTAATGAATACTGAGATTCATATGTCCACTATGCATCTGGATGCCCCATTAAAGGAGTTCAGTTTAGTATAGTGATTAAGGCAATGGATTAGAAAGTAGCAGCCCATGGGTTCTAGTCCCGCCCTAGGCAGAGAGGCTAGTGAGGGGATTTTGGGTCAGTCAGAATCTCTTTCAGCCTTAAAAACAAGGTATTGGCAAACCACCTCTGCCAAGAAAACCAGAAGTTGAATATATTGATTTTATTTAGCATATGGCATCTACAGTCCTGACAAATTATAACAACAACTTACCCCATTAAATAAGACAAAGGTTCTAGAGCAACTATTTGGTTTTGTTCTATTCTCTTTATATATATACATTTATATATACATATATTCTCCTTTTATGCAGGAACACATGATTCAGAATGAAGTTTCTATTTTAAGACGGGTCAAACATCCCAACATTGTTCTCCTGATTGAGGAAATGGATATGCCCACTGAGTTGTATCTTGTCATGGAACTTGTAAAAGTGAGTGAACGTTTGCCTGCTTCTGCTTAGTTTGTTAGCCATTTATCAGATTTCTAATCTTATCTGAAGTATAGAGAAATAGTATGTATATGAACATGGAGCAAAGAAGATCTACTATTCCTCAACAGAAACTTTATTAAAGATGGGGAAATGGATGAAGTAAGTTATAAACATTTATAAAAACGTAGGGGTAGTTTGTAGTTTATTGTAAGGTAGGAGTGTTTGTTGAAAGAAGCTAAAATGTATGTGTGTAAGAGCATTTTTCTGCTCATATTGTTATATGAAAATGAAAGTTAGGTGTAATAGGAGAAAGTACAAAAATACTTGAAAGGGAAAGTGGATTTTAAAAAGTGTATGTGTTAAAAAAAATAAGAATAGATGTGACCGAGAGTGAATTGATGGTAAATTGTATTGATTTCCAAATGAGTGAACAGCAATAACATTATTGTTTTGTAAGTACATTGGTTGCCGGTGTGTTACCGGGTGCAATTCAAGGTCCTGGTTATCATCTTTAAAGCCCTTCATGACTTGGGGCCAGATTATCCAAGGGATTATCTGCTCCAGTTGTCTACCTGTACAATTTGATCAGGCAAGTTGGGCCTACTGTGGGTTCCATCAGCCAAGGAATGTTGGCTAGTGGGAACCAGGAAATGTGTCTTCTCTGCCATAACCCCTGGCCTCTGGAATATTCTCCCTTCAGATATCAGGATGACTCCAACTCTATTTCGTACTGTTTTAATTGTTTTAATGTCTTATGATGTATGGCACCCAGTGCTTTTTTTCTAAAAAAAAAAAAAGTGCCAGAACTCACACATGTCATACAACCTGCCTTGCCTACCCTACAAGGTTCCATCCAAAAAAGGTGCCGGAACTCCGTTCTGGGCATTCTATGAGAAAAAAAGCCCTGATGGCACCCATAGTCACTTGTTGAGATGGCTGTAGGAAGGGAATGGAACGGAAGGGAATGGAACGGAATGGAACAGAACAGAACAGAACAGAACAGAACAGAACAGAATAGAATAAACTTCATTGTCACTTTAAATGTACACCAATCAGCATATATTAAAATGAAATTTGGTTGCATTCAGCTCTCAAAGGATACCCACTTCCAATATACACTACATAATCATGACAAAAATTATGCATATACCCACATACATACATATATGACAGAGAAACAATACAGTCTAGTTTGGATGTATGCATATACATGATGAGAAAAAAGAATCCTGTGAATTACAAGACGGATGGCATAAGGAACAAAGCTATTAAAGAATCTAGTAGTTGTAGCAGTATTCTGAATCATGAGAAGCCAGTTTCCTATAATCTTCTCAGCTGTCCTTACCACTCTCTGTATGGACCTTCTATATGAGGCTCTGCTACCACCAAACCAAATAGTGCCACAGAGTGTTAAAACACTCTCAACTGTGCCTCTGTAAAAAGTGGCCAGGACAGAAGGAAAAAATGTCCTTTCCTCATCTGACGCATAAATAAGTAAACCAGCTTTTGAGGATACCAATATAGGCTTGAAAACAGAGTCTCTGCTTGTGAAAAGATTGCCATGTACACTAGAAATAACATTAACCAGGAAAATTATTTCCCTTACGATTGTACAGATGTGAACTTTCAAAGAGGGAACTGGGATTCTACTTGGCCTGCTTTAAACTCACTCTCTCATCCATATCCTGATGAGAAGAGTCACATTCCAGCTGTGATGGCAAATCTGCTAGTAATATAAAGGCTCTGTGGAAATGGAGTTAGTCTTCTTGATTGTCACATGTTTCCTTAAACCTGAGAGTATTCCCTGGCACAGAGAATAAGAATTGATCTACCCAGCACTGATAACTACGTTGACTTTCTAATCTATATCCCTGCTGAACCTTTGCAGAAGTCTGAAGTTATGTATGTAGCTAAGTACTCAATTGCTACCAGTTAGGAACATAGATTCCCTTTTTTTCAAAGCCACCAAAGAAATACTTGGGAAGGTCTACCTGAAAGGTAACTGATTATGATGCCGTCTGGATTGATAAGTGGCAAAAGAAAAATAAGGAAGAGATTTGTAGACCTGTAAAAGATTTAGTGTTGGGTGCTTGTGAAAGTTTTGGTAGTATTTAAAGCAGTTTCCTTTAATCATTTGGTGGGTAGTTCTCAAGGGAAGACTTCAGATGGGAAAGTTGCTGGAAGGCAGCAGGTGATTGTCACTGTATGGGATTGTTGTTTTGTGCACACAGTAATAAAAAAGGACAGAGAAATGGAGGGAGATAGCTAGGAGACAAAAAATATCTGCTTGAAACTCCATTAGATCATTCTTGTGGTTCTTTTCAACTCTAAATCCTATGAAGTGAAAGCTGCTATGTGATCTAAGGCATATACATTTCCCTATACTATTTCACAGAACAAATTGGATTCTTAAAAAAGATATGCATGTTTGGTATGCTTTATTGGAATTAAGGTTTTCCTTTCCTAATGAATAAGTTCCTGGTTTTCCTCTCCACAAGAATGGAAAAATATGGAGAGGTATAGTGAATGCCATTGGTGTAAACTAGATTTAGCTATATTTTATTTTCTTAACTTATGCATTTAACTTTTATGCCTTACTATTTTGTATTTCCTTTCTGTGCTTTGCGTACTTGTGCCTGCCCCAAAAGGAAATGCCATGATGGGGCTATCTGTTTAAAATTGAATAAATCTTATTATATGTTTCTTTTTCAAATAGTAAGGCAAGTATTCTTGGAAGCTTGTTGAATAATCCATTCACGACTCCCATTTACAGCTGAGTAACCATCTGCTATGGGCTGCTTTTTGAAGGCTTAACATGCAAATTAAATTCTCCAATGGCAAAGGTTCTCAAGAGAAGAAGACTACTGGCATGTCAAACTTTAGTTAATAACATTATGCTTTCATTGGTCACAACAAGCATAATATAAGTGGGTCCTGTTGCTGCAGATACATTCTATTTTCATCTCAGGCATATCTTTCTGTCCTTAAATGTGAAAAATGCATTTCATAAATATAAATAAAAACATATTGCAAGTAGGACTTATGAAAAGGTGAGAGGACGTAGTGGCTGGCAAGCTGCCATTGTATGTACTGGGACTAAATTATTATGCAAGCCTTGCATTGCCCTATTTATTTTAATAAGCATGATTTATGATAGGGTTTCTTCCTGCTGTTCAAAGGATCTAACTTCAATTTCCCATGAGAAAGGGAATATTATAGCATTTCTTTTGGAAGCTAGTAAATAAGTAATTGGCTATTGTACTTCTGCATGTCAGTGCCTTATGGTGGAAGGTGATAAGGATTGTTCTTCCATCTTACCCCATCCCTTTTTAATTTTTTTTTTTAAAAAAACCTTTTTAAGTGCTGTTTCCAGTTTGTCTTGCTTCCAGAAAAGTGCAATGTTAGTGATGAAATCAAACAGTATCATTGACTAGCTAATGGTGGGTAAGCTGATAAAAGCATAATACTGAAATTGAGAAGTTGAAGAGTTGCTAAGTAAAATGTTGAATTATACCCAATTAGATTACTTGCAAAATTAACACATTAGGGGAGGGTTCCCCAAAGTGAACAACACTGACCCTCTAGGCTTTATGGGACTATTCAAGAGGTTCATGTGATTATGGTTTGTCATATGTTTAAATTGGATTTGCCTTTTTTATCCACTTATTGAGTCCTTCTGAAGGACCTGGGATAGATAGATGCTGTTTGATGGTATTAAAGGTATTGTCACAAGAAGTACGCTGTTCTAAGTAAAGCTGCCTTTTGCAGTTGACTGATGGTGATTTTGTCAATGCCAGTGGGTATTCAAGTGGTGGGTATCCAATGGTTTTGGAGTTGTAAATCACCTATTTAGTGTTTTGGAATAGACACCTATTGCTATTGGTACAATTAGTAGTAGTTGTAGTACTATTTATTAAGTGGTATTTATTAAATTATTTTTATTATTGTTTGGGGGTTAGTGAACAATATGAGTTGCCTTGTGGTGAGATGGGTGGCAAACAAATTTAATAAAAAATAAAAACAACAATCTGAAACTTCATGAGGAGTCAATAAGTTGAAGAGTTTGGGGAGCCCTGCATTAGGGTCTTAACAGGATACCACCCTTTTCCTGTTTACTTTAAATATTTTACTTTTACCTTCTTACATCCCAATTTCCTTTCCTCTTTCTAACTGTTGGCAAAAGTTTTACGCTATGTAATGTGAACTTGTAGTATAAGAAGTTTACTGAACTGCTACCATCAATGGCAATCTGAAATGATTCCCAAGAACAGTTGAAATGTATTTCTTTCTAGAGTAGACTGTGAATACTTTGAGTTAATCTCATCATTTATAGATATATAGAATGTCCACCAGAGATTTCATTCCTTTCTTTAAGAATGGGAATTCTAAGAAATCCTGAAAGAAAATGATGCTATTGATCATTATGAATCTTCTCCTGAATCATAGTGGAATATACTAATATGTTACATTCATTTTACTTCAGGGAGGAGATCTTTTTGATGCTATTACCTCCACAAATAAGTATACAGAAAGGGATGCCAGTGGGATGCTGTACAATCTGGCCAGTGCCATCAAATACCTTCATAGCTTGAATATTGTTCACAGGGATATCAAACCTGAAAACCTGCTGGTAAGTAGAACATTAAATAGTGATAGAAATTTTGATAATATAATTCATAGCAGTCATCTATCAATCACCTATCTCAAACTTCAGACAAATGTTTAGGGGCACTTTCAGCCTAAAATAGTTTTCAGAATTAGAATTAAAAAATGCCTTACTGGACTGAGCCAAGGCCCATCTTAGTCTATAATTTTGTTTCACACAAAGGTGTGCTTAGGGTGTGCCTACATATAAGAGAGGGAGACAGGACTTGCAAGATTAATGCCAGCTTTGTGAGGTAATCCAGACAAGAAGCATACCCAGGAGTACTAGTTTTATCTTTACTGTATAATAATTTTTGAAATATGAAACTACATCCCTCCCCTATTACCTTTACAACTAAGGAAGGCCCCTTCTGAGATGTTTGTTACGTTCCTGTTCCTTCTGTGGGCTCAGTTATTTCTTGTCTGACCATTGCCCAGACTGCATCTCTTCTGTTCTCAAGTCATTCTCACACCCCAATATATCAGCCTATTGATTAAAATTAAAATAGTACTTATCAGTATCAACTTTTATATGCCGCAACTCAAATGACTTTGGTTGGTTTAGAACTATTGTAGAGCTGGGTGTTTGATGGGTACCAAGGAACTTTTCACACACACAATGGAATCCAGACTTTAAGGGAAAAAAAAGAAAATTAGTGCCTGTTTTCTTCCATTCCATTTCAAGTCTTTATTATTTCTATGGTGAGAGTTGCTATCTTTTATAAATATGATATTGCAATGTATTCCAATGAGCCTTTCTTTGGAAAAAGTTTAGAAATTAGAAATAGTAAAAAATGAAGCAACTGGATGGTTAGTGGTTACATATTTTAATGATTGTGTAACTTTGAGATCATTTTCAAGTCTGCTTCAGAATATTGGTTTTAAATGCTCTGTAATATGCAGTTAAAATGTAAGTAGCACCACCTCCTTCTGAATGTTCTTCATCACCAAGGGAAACTGTGATGGTTAGAACACAAGATAGTATCCTTTTTGCAGAAACTCAGATTGGGGTGGGTCAGTGGGCCACTGACCGAGATCCTAAAATATCTCCAGTTATCTTTCACTCTTAAACTCTGGAAGATTTTGATCTGAACATAGACAGTGGTTAATACATTTTGGCAGGGCTTTTTTTCAGCCGGAACGCGGCGGAACGGCGTTCCGGCACCTTTTTCCGGGCCGGCCGCACCGGAAATAGCCCCTCCCACACCGGAAATAGCCCCTCCCAAATTTTACTTGCATTCCTGTTCTCTAAAGGGGCGGTCCTAGGGTTTGATGAGGGCGTGGCCAGGTTTGAGTTCCGCCACCTTTTCTCCGAG